AAGTTTGAATAAATATCAGCAACTCCTGTTGTCTGTCTGCCTTTGTCTAAGACACAGAACTTCCGTGCCGTCGGGGTCCCCAGGGCTGTGCTTGCACGCAGCGAGTCAGTGTTGGGACGGAACAGAGCCAGGCAGTGAGCGGGGCCCGACGCGCGGCTCCAGCACCAAACAGCCCCTTTGCTCCAGTGTGTCAGACAAAACAGCAGCAAGCCTGTGCGTGTCAGAAACGCAAAGGCAGCAGAGGAGCCGTCACAGATCACAGTGTAGCCCACACGCTCCAGACCAGAAAAGGGAGCATGGAGAGGGTATTACTGATCCGATAGAGGAAGGGAGGGGTGCAGAAAGGGGAAAGTGTGTGAACAGGAAACTAGATGTGATGAAGAGGGTGCCCAGATGGGTCCGCCTCACAACAGACGGGAGCGACCCTGTTAAGCTGGCCTGGAAGAGCATGGGATCAGATGTAACAAGTAACCACTTAGAGACCATCAAGCACAACAATACAAAGATCGAAGACTGAAAATAAAAAAGAACAGACAAGCACTAACCAAAAGAAATCTGATGTAGCAGTATCGATAGCATGAAACGGAATTCAGGACAGTTAATAGAGAAACGGGGCTGCGTGGCAATCAGGAACTCATAAGCAGCTGACGATAAAGCTCAAAATGCGCAAAAGTTGGCAGTCGGGTGAGATGCTGACTGTCATGAAAAGTGATCCCTGTTTATCCCTAAACAGATAAATCTGCATTATTTTCCAGCACACATGGAGCACAAGAAAAATATTTAGCAAACAGTGAGAAGACCGTGGAAACTGGCAATTTAAGCTTGTTTCTAACTCCTCGTTGGAAAGGCAGTGCCATAGGGATGCAGGATTCTGCTCTCTAGAACTGGACAGACGCACAGAGCCATAGAAGAGGAACAGCCACGGCTCAGATTGGCCTTGGCAGCTTAGCAGTGTCTGATTTTATACATGACAAAATAAGTGAGTTAACCGTTTAAGCCAAAAAATAAGACCAGCATAACCCAAAGAAACTATGTAAATGCTTCTTTCAATTACAATTGAGAAAAGAGAATAACAAAATCAAAAGCAAAACTCAGACTTTGTACTTGAAAAACTTAATGAAACTAATTTATAGAAAATCCGAGAAACTCCATATCAAATAAAAATTTTTAAATATGAGAGAACCATTATGAACACCTTTCTGCCAATATATTTGAAAACAGATAAAGTAGGATTTAATTGTTAGAATTGGTCAAGAAGAAATAAAATACTTGGGCAGATAAATAACAATTACAGAAATTGCACTGCAGTTAAAAAAAAAAAAAATTACTCCAGGTACCAGATGTAGGTGATTTTATAGGCGTACAAACATATTTATTAAAACTATTTAAAAGAGTATAACAAGAGAAAGCAACTCAATAAAGTACGAAGGAAGTTTAACCTTGGCAGCCAAACCTGACAAAGATTATGTAAGAAAAAAATCAGCTGGGCCACGTGGCTCACACCTGTACTTCCAGCACTTTGGGAGCCTAAGGTGGGAGAATCGTCTGAGACCCGGAGTTTGAGACCAGCCTAGGCAACATTGCAAGGCCCCGTCTGTACATGAAATTTAAAAATTAGCTGGGCATGGTAGCACACACCCGTAGTCCCAGCTACTTGGGAGGCTGAGACCTGGCAAGTAAGCCCAGGAGTCCAAGGCTGCAGCGAGCTATGATCGCACCACTGCACTCCAGTCTGGGCAACAGAGCAAGACTCTGCTCTCAAAATCAACCAAACAACAAGGTAATGTAAGAAAAAATAAAATGAATGCAAAAATTCCAAATGAAATGTAATTAAATAAAACCCAATTTTATGTTATAAATAAACGTAATAAGTTCTAAGCAAGTAAATTCATCCCAAGAATGCAAGACATAGTATGTTAACATGGCTATAACTTGCCATATTAACAAGTAAAGGGGTAAATCACCAGCTTAACAAATGACAAACAATATTTCAATTTTTAGTCAACATTTATCATGTTAAACCAACTAGTAGAAGAAAATTTCTTTAACCAAATAAAGTATATCTAACAAAATCTTCGCAGCAAAAATTTAAGGTACTGAAGTCCTTTAGAACCGTCCCCACTGGCGGCAGAACTGAACAGGGACCCCACCACTATCTAGCGCAATTTAGCAGCCATACCAGTGATTACCACAACAAAGAAAAAGGAAAGAAGGCCTGGCGTGGCAGCTCATGCCTGTAATGCCAGCACTTTGGGAGGCCAAGACGGGCAGATCACCTGAGGTCAGGAGTTCGAGACCAGCCTAACCAACATGGAGAAACCCCGTCTCTACTAAAAATACAGTATTAGTCTGGTGTGCTGGCACATGCCTGTAATCCCAACTACTCAGGAGGCTAAGGCAGGAGAATCACTTGATCCCAGGAGGTGGAGGTTGAAGTGAGCCAAGATCGTGCCATTGCACTCCAGCCTGGGCAGCAAGAGTGAAACTCCATCTCAAAAAAAGAAAAAGGAAAGAAGGCATGCTAATTGAAAAATAACTTTTCGTATCTAGAAAACCCAGGTGAATTCATAAACTATTGAGACTAAGAAGTCCACAAGATCAACCCACAAAAAGTTATTAACATTCCTAGCAATGGCAATACTATTTTAACAGCAACTAAATTTAAAATAAATGTAACAACATTTTTGGGCAAAATCATGAAACGTGATAGAAGGCCATAAAAGAAGACCTAAACGGGAGATTTTTATGGATGGAACAATTCAGTATCGCTAAAATGTTAACTCTCCCCCAAATTAATCTGTGTATTTAATCAAAATCCCAACAGAATTCTTTGTGGAATCAGTAAATTGATTGTAACATACATAGAAGATAAAGGTCTAAGTATACCCATAGCGATTCGGGGAGCAGAGGTAGGAAGTGGAAGGCTCAACTACCAGGCGTCTGGACAGGTCATAAACCTGCCGTCAGCCGTGACGAGGGGGAGCGAGGCTAAACTGGCCAAGCAGAATTCGGATTCCCATGTGTGCAAGTACCTGGCTTGTCCTGGGGCTGCTCAGCCAGGGGCACAGCATGGCCTCCAGGAACCGGCATCATTGGGACAGCTGCCCTTCCATGTGGATGACGGCGTAAAAGTAGAGCCATCATCTCCCAAACTTAAGATCAAAACATTAAGATTATTATGAGAAAACAGAATATTCTTACTGCCTAGGGTAAGGATAGATTTCTTACAAAAGACGAAAAAGCTACACTTTAAGAGATGGACAGAAAGAAAAGATGGACACATCTGAGCACACCCCTGGTGAATTTCTCTCCACACTAAGACCCTGGACAAGGGTGAAAAGCAGGACAAAGGCCCACAGAAAACAAATTCTGCTCCAAATCATAACCAGCCTTCCATACATTCTCTTCCTTAAGCTGAAAGTTGTTTAGCATCACGCAGCACTGGTGTGACGCCCGGCTGGCCCGAGGGCTCAGCTGCCTCCAGCCGTGGCCCCAAGAAGGCAAAGCACCCGGGTGGGTGGAGGGAGCAACCGCCCACTCTGATGGCTGACGGGGTGCCTGGGTCCAGCTCCCTTCTCTGCTCAGGCAGCAGAGGCCCGATGAGTACAGGCTTTTCCTCGCCAGCACGGACCCGTTGGAACTGGCCTGCAAGACAGCTTGCCATGGCAGCTTCCCGGGCACGGGGCACACACAGCTCCTCTGTCCTCCCCATGCCCCATACCCTCCCTCAGAGGAAACTCGTGCTTCCAGCGGCACCAAATAGGATTTGGAACCAACTGGCATCCAAGCTCAAATCCGGTTAGCGTCTGCCTGTTTCCCTGGTGCCCGTGCGTCCAGCCGAGATGCATTTGACCCCGGGCGGGGTGTGCTCACAGGCTCCCAAAATGCGAACATAGAGCAGTTTCCCTGGTGTTAATTAAGTACTATTCCTGGGACCTGCCCTGAGATTCCAATTGCTTACAGATGTGGAAAAGCCTGGAAGTCCCATGTGTGTGGATGTGAGTGTGTATAGCGGTGCGTGTGTTTATGTGGTGTGACTTTAGGGTGTGTATGACTGTGGCATGTGTATGGTGTTTGTGAATGTGGTATGTATGGTGTGAGTTTGGGGTGTGTGTGGTGTGAGAGTGGCATATGTGTAGGGGCATGTGTAGTGGGGGGCTGTGGTGTGTGTATGGTGTGAGTTTGGGTTGTGTGAGTGTGGTGCTCCGGTACAAGTGTGAGCACAGAGATTCTTTGGTAGGAAGGCCGAGGCAGGTGGATCACTTGAGGTCAGGAGTTCGAGACCAGCCTGGTCAACATGGTGAAACCGCCATCTCTACTAAAAAATATAAAAATTAGCCAGGCATGGTGGTGCACACCTGTGATCCCAGCTACTCGGGAAGCTGAGTCATGGGAATTGCTTGAACCCAGGAGGTGGAGATTGCAGTGAGATCACACCAGTGCTCCCCAGCCTGGCAACAGAGCAAGACTCCATCTCAAAAAACAAAACAAAGAAAGAAAGACATAAGACATGGACTGCTGGAGAATGGGGATGCTGCCTACAGTCAAAGCGGAGTGGGCGGCCCAGCTCAGAGCCAAAATGATCCTCTCTTCTTCCCGGCCTCCCTTGCAGGCAACGGCCCACCTGGCCTGGTCTCCTGGAGGCTCCCTTCAAACACCGACACCCACACCCAAGATGCACTCTCGAGATTTGACTTGCATTGTGGCTATGGGACAAGTTTTCATCGGCGGTTTAAATGTTTCCCAACCTACATTCCTATGTCCTAGGGGTTTGGAATTCTAGATCGTACTTGAAGTGTTAGTGCCACACACACCCCTCAGCACTTACTGGCAGCAAACCATCAGCTTTGCAGCATAGCTGGGGCCACCAGACCTCGCTCCTGCTCTCCCTGCTTGAGCTCAGTGGCTGGTAGGAAGGGGTGTATGGCCACTGGCTGGCCAGGTGCAGCTCTGTCCTCCCCTCCCCCATCCCTCTGTCACCCTTGGAGGCCGAGAACTTTGCCCGTCCGTCCCATGGGGAATGTCAACAGGCAGGGGCTGCGCTGCTGAGAGTCATGGCCTCCCAGGCCCACCGGCTCCTCTGCCTTCTGCTTGGGCTTCAGGGCTGTCTGGCTGCAGGTGCGTCCGGGGAGGTTTTCCTCATAAACTTGGTGGAAGGGCGGCGGGCAAGTCCCAGGAGCCGGCCAGGGCTTCCCAAACCCGCCCTTGCTGTGGACACCCCATCCGCCATGAGGGTTTTCTGGGAGTTCCTGTTCAATTTCTTTCCTTCTGGAAACCAGCATCCAAGGGCATGCTGGGTGACAGTGGGAAGCCCTTCTTGGTGGCTCAGGCTTTGTCGGGATTATTTTTCAAAGAACATTAGGAGCGGGTGGGCTTTCCTGGCCTCCATGAGACCCTGCCTGTGAGGTCCGATAAGCACAAGGAGTCTGGGGCCGCTCAGTGTCCGGGAGGTGCTCACAGGCTGCTCTCAGTCTGGGGAGGACATGTGGGGGACAGTGCGTGGGGGATGGTGCCTGCGACGTGGTGGATGGGGTGAGGGAAATGGCATGGGGGCTGGGGGATGGGGTGTGGAAAACGGCATGTGGGGGATGGGGTGTGGTAAACGGCGGGTGGGGGATGGGGGATGGGGTATGGCATGTGGGGTGCGGGGAATGGGGTGTGAGGGATGGAGGGTGTGGGGCATAGAGTGTGGGGAATGGGGTGTCTGAAAAGGCATGTGGGTGTGGGGGATGAAGTGTGGGGGATTGGGGTGTGGGGCATGGGGGGTGGGGTGTTGGGGATAGGGCATGGGAAAGGGTGTGTGGGTCTGAGGGAATGGACGTGGGTGTCAGGGATGGAGCGTGGGGATGGTGCGTGTGGGGTGGAGCATGAGAAGCAGCATGTGGGGTGGGGGTTGAGGGGATGGCAAGTGGGGCATGGGCTGTGGGGGACAGTACCTGGGATGTAAGGCTGCAGCCCTAGCTCACAGCATGGACTTGTGACCCCAGGCAGGGTAGCTGAGGCCTCAGGAGGAGAAAACAGAGGATGCGCTGTGGAAGCCGGGCCTCATAGAGGCGAGCAGAGCTTACCCTGGCTCTGTAGCGGGGCCCAGTGGGGGCGAACACCACCTCCTTCACCTCCCATGGCAAACAGCTGGCACACGGCTACCATGGTGCCCCTGAAAGAGGGCGTTCCCTGCTCCAGCTCAGCCTCCCCTGGGACTGGGGGTGCAGGCGGTTTTCTGTTCTTTGTTCCATTCTGTCCATTCTCAATAATCACGTGTTCGTCAGGTTTGCCTTGGTTCTTGAG